CCATGAGGACCAAAACTCCAAATCTGATTGATGGCATTTTCCCATTCATTGCCTGCTTCCTTAAATGCCTTATCCAATTTCTTCTTTAAATCTTGTATCGCAGCAAAGGTTTCTTGATTAATTTTTTCTCTGTTCTCAAGAGCCTGAACTAATGCTCCCATTTTCATAGTATTTCCTTGGTCCGAAGCCGAGTCTGATCCCTCTTTAATGGTATGACTATCCTTCTTTTCCATAGCATCTGAAGTATTGACAACAGCCCCTATCTTTGAGATAGATCTCAGGAGGTCTTGATATTCCTCCAGCAATTTGGTGACTTGTTCCGGTAAAGGCACTGCTCTGCAACGTAACTTGCCATAATGCCCACTCACTTCGACCACTCCCAGGGGATCACCATTCACAGGCTTAAAAGAAGAAATTACATGATCACAATCACAAACAATGTAACACGTACACAAAATTAACCCAATGCCATGGGATGTACATACATGCCATGGCCATTGTGAGTTTAATTAATTTTTTTACACATACATAGCTCCACAGGTACTAAGATACCAATGACCTAATTATGAGTACTACCTGTTTCACCTCTTTACCATTTTCCTTGATTTTTAAAAATATTTTCTGTTATTTTATAGTTATGCTAGTAATGTCAATAACACTATAACAATTACAATGTTTATAACAAAAATAACAGCATAGATATTGATACTATTAGTAAAAAAAAAGTTTTACCCTCTAACTCAAGAAAATCAAGTGAGGTCACAAGGTCTACTAATTCACTCCTTTGTGGCTGAGGACTTGAAGAGACAATTCATAAAACAATACTACGGTGAGCCTTGACACACACACAATAAAGTTAGATTGAAGATACAAATCGTCCACATGTACTTACATCTCAATATATGATAAAAAATATTCAAATAAATCCTTATCAAAAATAGAGTGACGTAAGAAGACATGCATACCTTCTTCTGGCTAATGTTCTCCCCTTCAATGGCCTCATTGAGTCGATCAACAGTCGGAGGGGGTATTATGGTCTCCCTGAAGGGTACAATGGGATCGGAGGTTCGTATGGGGATGCCGGCATAGCGTTCTTGGAGGTCATCCACACAACGCTGTAGATGGACTTCTCCAGCAGTGATGATGACATATTCACCACTGTCTTGTAATTTGACCTGAAAAATAAAGTCAATTCACTATAAATGAACACCAAATTAAATAAAAAAATTAACTGTCTTCAATATGACAGCAAGATAAACAATGAGGAAGAGAGAAAATAGAAAAGTTAAACACCATTATAAGATAAAACAATAATACAAAACTATCTGCTTCATCTTTTAAAGCCATGATATCCCTGTTGCTTCTATCCCTTCTCACCTGTACGCAGGGATCAGCTTGATTAAGAATCTTCAAGCCACGCCGCAGTTTTGGCAAATCCCTTGGATCTCGAGGCTCCACAGCGACGCGTAAGATGGGAGTGACGTTGAGTGTGAGTTCTGTGAAGGCTGGCATGGTATAGGTACTAGAAAGTGTGGCACTCTTGATGACATAGTCCTCCAACCCAGTTATTCCAACCACAGTACCGGCAGTTGCATATTCAATCTGCTCTAGTTCACGGCCCAGAAGTAAGTACACATCTGCTATCTGTTTGAATGGAACATGTAGTATTTAGAAACTGCAATGATGAAGAGATTACTTAAACTGCACAAAATAATAATTAAACTGTCAGCATAATATAAAAAAATTAATAAATGTAGCTCTTGATCATTTGGCTCCATTCCATCTGAATCTGTGCTCTTGTATTTATAAGTCAATTTACTTTTTTTTTCATAGTCAGTTATGAGTCTCTTAACCCCTTGCCGATGGGGATGGCATGTACGTACATGCCATGCCTACTGGGAGTCGACTTGTTTGATTGTTTTTACACATCGATTTACGAAAATATTTAACGTTATCCTAATTTGCTGTTAAAAATAACACCATCTATATTTATAGCACTAGTAAGAATAAGTTTTTTTCCCGCCAATTCAAGGAAAGGTGAAATCAGGACTAGCAGAGCCATCTATGTACAGAGGTATTTTACAAAAATATAAATAAATGAGTACAGCATTTTCCCCACTTTTATTCATTTTCCCCGGCGGCAATGGGTTAACATACAAAATAAGACCCCATCCTTCTTTTAAACTTCCCCCCCCCCCCCAAAAAAAAAAAAAATGTAATGAAAGTATATAATTCTTAAGGTGATCATCCCACTAGGATGGAGGGTCAGAGAAAGGATCATCAAAGCCTGCGCTAAAGAAATAAGTACCTTAAGAAGGGTGAAAGATATCAAGTCAGATGTATGTTAGACCATTTTACTATTGGCTATTTATGCTTCTTTTGAATTCAATGCAAAGAAAATAGGTCAGAATTGGCTAACCTGACTAATTCATAATAGTTTATAAATGGGGAGAGAAGGAGGGAGGGAGGGAGAGAGGGAGAGAGGGAGAGAGGGAGAGAG